TCATCTTTTCAAGTTTTAGGGAGGCCAGTTCTGGCTATGTATTGGATGAAACAAGAAATGTGCCCTGATGTGAACAGAAGTTTTGCTTTTTATTTTGAACTTAAGGATGAAATCAGAGAGAGAGGGGAAAAAAAAGAAATTGAAGCACAGCAGAAAATACATTTTTTGCTGTGTGAATGCAGTTGCAGGATGCAACCACATCCTGTAGACAGGAAAAAACAATGTGATGGTACCATTAGCAGGGCTAAGGAGTGCTGGTGCAGATGCCAGTGCATGCTGACCAGTCTGAGTGCTTACAATGAGCACAATTAATACTGTATTCTAAGGAAGGTAGTGGAATTTGCAATGCATCCAAAAAACAACTAGACCATTTTTCAGGTCCTGGTTATTTCCCAATGAACTGCTTGACCTCAAGGCCTCTAGCAGGCATGAAATTCTGCTTTTGCAAAGCCTCTTAGAATAGTTCCATTCAAATTCAGACATAATTACACCTCTCCTCACAATATCGCATTTCAAATATCCTCCCAGTAATCAGAATTACTGCAGTGTGTGAGGAGTGAAGAGCTCCTTTATCCATACAGCAGAAAGCATTTGAGCTGTTATGAGCTAAAGAAGGTTTATAATGGGACAGACTAATAGAAAAGGCTTTGAGGCATTATCACAGTCACAGAAAGGCATGAGCAAATTTGAGCCTGTCAGAGAGCTACAATGCTGTGCCTTTCCCAGAAAAAGCTCAGATGGAAATTGAGCAAGAAATAGCAAGAATCCCCCACCTCTCTCTCATAAAATTACAGCTGCAGTGAAGTAGTATGTATTAGTTGGTTCCCATGGTTTTGATTTTCTAACTTGCTCTGTATTTTCCTTTTCAAGGCTGATTTCTGTTTGGCAGTTTTACGCTTAAGAGAATACCCACCAGAAGAATTGCAAATGTGTAGCAAACAGAACGACTCTCACACTCTCAGATAGGATGGGGAATACGATTTGTTTAGGTGCACTGGTCAGGTAGCAAAACTGTCCATGGAGATGTCTCTTTGACTGTTAATAGGTTTTCCTTATTGGCAGCAACCCCTCAGTTTTGTGTCTCCCCTTGATGAGGAGAAATATTGACCTCATGAAGGATTTCTTCCAGTTTGAATTTTGTGCCAGTACACAGATCATTACCAACAGCATGTTCCTTTACACGGGCAGTATGTAACACAGGAGCAAGCTGTAGGAAGTTTCAATCTGCAGTATTGTGTTACGTTGCAACATTCAGAGCTCTGCCTTCCAGAATGGAATATGAGAGTTTATCAGTCACGCACTTATAGCCTGTTATAGGGATATTCACTTCACAGTTGGGAGTAAGACTTATTCAACAACTATGTAAATAGGAAAGATTACAAAATTGGGGTATTTCATGGATACTGAGTTCCTATAATTTTTATCAGAATCACATCTAGTGGAGTGAGACTGTTAAATCTAGAGGAAAAATGAGCTCTGTTAGTTCTGCTGCTCATACAGTTTGCACTTTGCAGGTTCTCTTCAGTGGGAGTGGTATTCATGGCACAGAGGTGAGTCTTCTCAGGAACTGGCCACTTTTTCCAAATAAAAACAGCTTGTAGTGGTGATTTGATTGTGGAATTGAAAGTGAGCACACAGAAAGAAACAAAGAGCTGAGCAAGAAGCAGTGCCTGAGCTCATAGCCAAGTGGCACATTGCTGCATTGCATTCACCCTCGTGCATGCCAGCCCAGTTGAGGGAAGAGTGACTTATGTGCCCGTTGTCATTGACGCAAAGAAAGATACCCACACAATGAGTAGTCTTGAAAATGGAGGAAGAAACTGCTGAAATAGCCTGCAAAGTCTGAGGTCTGTAACCATACACAGAAACAAAATGAGTTGGCTTGACTGAAACCCTGTAATTTCCTAGATTACTAGTTCGCAAAGATACAGTTTAGTACAAAGTGAGGGCTGCTAACTGTAAAAAGTAAAACATCGTGCGATGGATATTGATTTGTCTAATTATACACAGAATTTATTTAAAGCAGAGACCAGTCTGCTTCAAAGTTTAGAATAAAAAAGGTAGTGGGCGTGTGTCTGTCTGCCAGCATTTACTGTTGGAAGCATTGAATTCCCACATGTGGAATCATTCAGCATGTTTAAAAACGAATAAGAAGAAACGCACTTCCAAGCACTAAATCTTCTTATCTTTGATAAAGTGCAGGTGACCCCAGGTCATGTCTGTAGTGGTATCAAGGTAGCATTTGACATAATGAGTAGTTTTTTATATCACCAGTATCACTAGTAGTTCTAAGGAGAACAATGGGAATGGGCTGAACAGCAGGGACTTTGGCTGATGGTTACCCTGTGGAAAGGGCACTAAAGGGTGAAGTGGCTGGGCTGGAGCTGTTGTGCCATGGAAGCTGGTCATGGGCATTTTTCCCATCTCAATTGGTCTCTGCAAGTCATGGGGTCTGGAGAAATTTGGTTTTTCACAAACCCACTAATGGGAAAAAGTGAATGACACACTCCTGGTGCAGTTTTTCCCCAGCTTTCATTAACCTCTGTATAGATATTATTTTAATTAAAATAATCTTGACAGCACCTATGAAAAAGCTGTGAGGGCTGCAATGGCAATTAAATGTGTTGTCAGAAATGACAAGTAGCCTGGTATCACTGGAAGGAAATTAATGCTCTGGCCAATAATGGAACAGTAATCTTAATCCAGAGCTTTTTGCCTATCAGGAACTCCTTGAAATGGATGGATTTTGGAGATCAGGCAATTTTGGAACAAGACAGTAAAGCAATAGGTACCATAAAGCATCTCTGTTTCAAAAGACAATGTCATACTGGTGTAATGGTGGCTCATAGCTGCCAGGATAAAATGTGGTGCTAACTGGACATTAATAATGCTGTATGTGCAAAGACATGACTTTTCCTAAACTTAAATATCAGAAAAATGGGAAGTTATATTCAATATTAGGTTTTGGAAGTGGAGTTTAAGAATGATATGCACCAGTGCCTGTTGTCTGTTTTGGATTGTGTGCTGCAGGGAGAAGGCATGGAAATTCACTTGAGTGGAATTAGCTTGGCCCACTGTCAGCAACCATAAGAACTAAGGGGTGGGATCAGAGAATCATAGAATCGCTAATGGCTTATGTTGGAGGGGACCTTAAACCCATCCAGTTCCAACCCTTGCTGTAGGCAGGGTTAACACCAACTAGATCAGGCTGCCCGAAGCCCCATCCACCCTGGCCTGGAGTGCCTCCAGCCATGAGGCATTCACAGCTTCTCTGGGCTGCTGTGCCAGTGCTTCCGAGTAAAGAATTTGTGCCTAACAGATAAACTTTGCTGGCAGTGCACTGCAGGATTACAGCATTCCCCCATCTACGCAGAATTTCTTTCTCTATTTAATCCCTAAAATTAAAACGTATCACTTCATTTAGTCACAGCTACATCTTGCAAGAGCTGTGATTTAAAGGAGATAATAAGTAGCAAGATGTTCAAGAAACAGCTTATTTCTCACTTGTTCCGCCATAATGCCCAGCAGTGTGAAAAGACTGGATCCTGTTATGCCAGAGACTGTTACAGAACGCAGTGTGAAAGATTTTCTGTCCCAAGGCCATTCGCACTGTAAAGAAACTTGAAACATCAGAGCCAAAAAGCAACGTGTCAGTAAGGAGAACGGGGGAACAGGGGGACAGGGAGTGCCTTTTTTCTTCTCCGTTAGAAAGGCACTGTTCGTTCCTCACAACTCTCAGATTCACTGTTAGGGTTAACTAATATCTTCCAGTGCAACCGAATGAAGGTTTTGAGCTGAAGAATGGTGGCTAGCAGGGCCAACTTACTTTACGGGCTGACTCAGAAAGAGCTTTCTACATCCAGAAAGTAGCGTGGGAGATAGACTGGCAGTCAGCAGTGGCTGGGAGAGTCCTAAGACCACCCAGAGGGACAGAGCATTGACCTGGTAAGCAGGAACAGGAGACAGGGACTTAGAGCTATGAGGAGGACTAAAAAGAGATGTCAGTATGTACTGCAATAGGACAGCAAGTGAAAGACATCAAAGAGACAGTGATGGGGGCAGAATAAAAAGCAAAGGCAAAGGAGCAATGAGTGAGGAACCTGAGTGCAGAGAGGAGAAGCAGCAGGGACAAAAGTTCTGGGCTATCAAATGGATGCAGCTGCTTCTCTTTGTGAGAAAGATTTCATCTGGGGAGCTGAAGGGGTCAGTAAAATTGTGTGCTGTTTCTGTGTCAGCTTCCAGTCGGAATGTACACAGGAAACAGCCATACTTTCTTATTGATATCATAAGAGAAAAAATGAAACACGAGAGAGGGAAACATCATTTCCAAGGTCCTTCCATACTTTAGAGAATCAGAGGCTTATAGGGTTTGTTTTGTCAGCAACGGGCAAGATGCAAAGTACATCTAAGGAAACACCTGTGTTGAATAAAAAGAGTAACACGTCAGGCATAGCACGGATGGTAAAACAAATGTTTAGCTTCCTATGTAAAATCATTAACTTTTTAAAACTCAAACTGTTTCATTAAAAAAAGGCAAGCCTGTGTGTTTAACCACAAATCTGTTGTTACTTCACTGCTCCTGACAACAGTGCTAATGAAAGCAAAGTTTTTCACAGCTTTCTTCCAGTAAACCACATCTGGATTTTTAACCTCACTGGAAGTTTTTACTGTGCTTCTGTACCAGACTGTAATGTAATGCAATTGTTATTTATCTCCAAATTTTGCAGTTCCTCTCTCGTGGACAGTTTTCTGCTTAACAGTCTTTAATTAAATTCCTCTTGCAGCTTACCACTACAAAAATTGAAATCCTCACCACAGATCTGTAGAAATGTTTCCACTTGCACTGGGAGACAGAAATAGAAGAATTCCATGTCTTTTTGGACAGATGCCTAGCTGAAACTATGCAGGGTTTGACTGACAAGAGGATGTAGTCTTTGCTGAGAGCGCTTTCTTTAAGGTCCCTTTTAGTCTTTGGGAACACTTAAGTAGATGAATGAAGAGAGCATTTATGTGAGTTTCCCTTCATTCTTGTTCACTTTGCCTGCTTGGTTTTTTTTTTTTTTTTTTTTTTTTTTTTTGATAACTTTTGTCTCCTGCAACAAAATCTCTTCAGCTCTTTGGGCTTACTGCATACGTAATCACAAACTGGTAAGTAGTAACTTCAGGAGTTTTGTTTTGAAATGGCACTCTGTTCTTCTGTGTACAGCTGTGGTAGAGGAATAAAACCCCTTTGTGTGGCTGAGTATAAGAATTATTTAAATGCACAGTATTTGCCAGGGTTATAACTGCAAAGTATGGTCTTTCGGTGGTGAATAAACGCGTTTAACACACAGCTCAGCCTGTGAATGCAGCAGGGAGACTTTACATGAGTAAGTTCAGAATTATTTTGCATCCGAGCGAGCTCTCCCCACTGTGCTGCACAGCACATTATCCGTTTCCTGGGGAGTGCGGACGGGAGCTTGCAAAGCACAGAAGGTAATTGGCTGCTTCAGCTGAAAAAGCAGAAAAAGCATATTTGTTGGTACATGCAGAAGGAAAATGAGAACAATGCTAATTACTGTCAGGTGACAATATGTGTTTGTAGCCTCCAAGCTGTCTGTGAGATTAGATCTGTACTGACACTCTGCGCTGGCACTGAGAGTGTTAATGCAGTTTGGGCAGCTGAGAAACTTTTTTTTCGGACAATGCATTTTGAAACTAGAATTTTTGTGTGTTCTGAATGTAAAAAAGGAGGTGAGTGTGTAAATAGCAACATGCTTTTTCAGAATGCTTCTTTCGGCTGTTGGAGGCTTGTGTTTCTGTGTATCTCTATTTTTATTTGGAAGCCTATCTTCACCATATGTAAGCTGTCCTGTCTCTGAAGTTTGGTGGGAAGCGAACGTAACTCAAGCGTAGGCACTTATTTCTGTATTTCTGAAATTTGCTTATACTGATGCAAATATTTCCTCTTGGAAAGGAAAAGCTGTTACTGGGATGGATGCTTTTTCTCTGTTGTACATGTGGCAGTTTCTACAGACTGCCTGAAGAAACTGTAACTTTATATCTGTACTTTTTGTTTAAAGTGGTTGACATCCAGGTGAGGTGCGGAAGCGTGCTGGGGCTGTAAGGCAGTTGTACCAGGATCCTCCTAAAATAGGTCCGTTTTCATGAAGATATTTTTGTGCTGCTTTTTCTTTCCTCTGGCTCTTTAACTAAATGAAGCATGTGGTTTCAAGCCAAATCTGACACATGCTTGAGTAAGATAAACTTTATTTTTCATGATATAAATACAGTGGGTATCAATAGCCACATCTGGGGTAATATATTCTGAAGATGCGTCGTATGGTTAAATTGTAAGATGAGTCCCACTGGAAATGTTTGACATAGCAGTACAATATTCACAGGAAACATCCTTGCAGTTCATGTTGCAATATTCCAGTCCTTTTTGACTTTGTTTTTAAGTTCTTTTCTGAAATTCTACCAAAAAACCTATGCAAGAGTTGGAGTTGAAATTGTGCTGCACGTGTAGGGGGCGACAAAAATGGCATATTTTATGGATTTGGAAGGCCAGTGTGATTGTATCTAGGGAGAATATTTAACAGGATGAAGAACATTATAAATTTTGAATGCATTAATATTCTCACTAGCTTTTTTTTCTCTTCTTTGGCAAAAGTGAAATAATTTTTATTTTTTTTCTTTTATACACTCTTGTTGTCTTTGAGGTCACTTTAAATCTCTGTTCACATATACAAGGTAAAATGCATAATAAAATACTGAAGGAAATGGGGTTAAGACATGCAATGTCTAATGAAGAATATTAGTATTTATTAGCAATCAACTTTTGGGCTATAATCTTTTTCCCCAGAACCTAGCGAGAGCTCTTTGCTCTCATTGCAACCATCACTTCACTTGCTGATTTTTTTTTTTTCCCCATTTACATGCTTAATTTTTTGTGTGCCTAATACATAACGTCATTTCTGACTGAAAGGTATGGTGATAAAAGGGAAAATACAATGGGCTTGAACAAAATTGCTGGGGAGGCCCTTACAGGATGGTACTGCTGCATAAAAGTCATTTCTAGTTCTGCATACAAGTCTTCATACTGACCTAATGAACTCAGGAGAAAACACATATTTTTCTTGAGCTCAGAAAGCAAGTGTGGTCTAGAAAGTCAAGGTTTAGTACAAGTGTAATCAGCTAGAGTAGTGTGAGCAGCTGTGTGCCAACTTTCTTTTGCCTCCTGTGTACCTGCCCTAATTAACTCCATTCTTCACTCTTCAGTCATCTCCACATGTGGCAATTTGGTCTTAATGGGCTATAGAACGGGTGGCACTGGTCCATTTGGAAATGCCTTGTGCTGTAGAGCAGCTTGTGTAGTCCTGCACAGGGGTCTCTGACAGCATACTAGGTGGGACTGCTATCTAAAAGGAAATGTGTGTGGTGAGTACCTGTTCTCTCTTTGTGATTGCTGAAAGGCTGTCTTTGAATTATACATAGATCATCAGATAAAAGCTAGATTGCTTTGGGACAGGAGCACCTGACTGACTGAACTGTTAGGCATTAAGGAAAACATACAGTGGAATAAGTTCAGCTGAGCTTAGATGCTGTAGTCCTTATCCCTTCAGAAAGATTTCTTCTGTACCTCTCCCTTCCTTCTTCACCTCCAAGCAGTGATTAATCATAACTTTGGTTAATTGGACTTCCAAACTGAAGCTGCGAGTCAAAAGGTTCAGCTGTTTTCCTGCTGTTCTACCTTGTATTTTCTGGATGCTTAGTCTAAATCTAGCAAGGCTGATGGTGTGGGAGAGGAGGATGTAGATGGGCTGCTGAAAGGTGCCACTCTGCAGATGTCAGAGCCCAGAAAAACCAAAACCATAACAACAACAAAAAGCCCCAGGAAGGCCTGAGCTTCTGCATGTTAAGCAGGAAGGAAAAGCACCTTGTGCTGTGTACCTGGCATAGAGAGGGAAACCTCCAGGTTTAAGGTAAGCTAATACTTGAAAACGCATTGAAAACATTTTGTAGGCTTGTGACCTTTAAAAGAGATTAGAGCCAGAGCCAGTTATTCATTCATTTATATCTCTGTGTGTTTACTTGAATAGGTGCTCTGCAGTAAGTAAGAATAGCATGCAATTATCTTTTCTCTCCAGGATTTCATAAAAATTGTTCAGAGGCAAGTCATGTGTTTGATTACACCTACCTGTTCCTTGGAGTCCTACATGGAGCTGTGCTGAAGCTCGGGATGTTATCCAGAGTGTTACGATTGAAACTGAAGTAGGAAATATGAGAAGATCTGGGACTCTGCAAAACTTCACGGCTAAGCCAAACTTCTCAGATCTCATCTTTGCTATGTGCATATTTCTGAGCATACCTTTGACCCCGGTATTCCTGTATTGGTCTTATTAGCATAGCAAAGTGGTGTTGCCAAACCAAAAAGTGATAGTTTGGCAAAGCATCTCAGAACCGTTAGGAGTGGTTTGAAGAGCAAGCATTCATCTCTCTTCAGTTAGTCACGTATAGGGAGAGTTAAAACTTTTAAGAGTGCAAGGCTGAGTTTTTCTTATTGTTTACTTTAAAAAGTAAAGGGTCATCCCTTGTTAACTCTCCTCCCCATGTAAGTAAAAAGTGATGCATGATGCCTCAACATGAATATTACATGAGTTGTCTTTGGCGCTGTGTAAGTCAGGCAGAGACATGGCACAAAACCATGCACCCACAGCATCCTTCCTGCAGGTGGGAGATAATGGCCAGAAGGGAGCCAGGTCTAAAACAAACTGAAATTCAGAAAGTGGCCTGGAAATATTTTTACATTTTGCAGGTGCTCTATTTCCAATCAGCAAGGGCCATGTAAGTAACAAATTTCTGTTCGCTGATTTCTGTCCTTAAGGGAAAGCTGCTTGCTTCCTCTCTTCATTTAATTCCTTTGCTTCTTTGACCTTCACCTGTGTGACTTGCTCTCTGAAATCCTCTTGGGAGGATCAGTGTCAGCTCTAATAAGCCAGCTGTCACTTTACACCAAACAGAAAGTAAATGTTTCATTTGTTAAAAGGGCCGGTGGATAACGCTGCCTTTTTCTACTGTCTTGGGTTTCCTTCTGGGGGAAAAGGTTTTACCTTTATGTGTCTGAAAGTGAGTAAAATGGATTTGGTGCTGCAGATTTCAGTGTCTTGAATGAAGACTGTTATGTAAGGCTTTTCTCTTTTTTATTTATCGTACTAGAATATGATGGGAGCTACAGCATAGAGCCTGACGGCAAGGAATTTTCTTACCTTCCCAGTAAGGGGTAGCCTATATAAGAAGTACACTGGGAATTCCTTTTCTTTAGGAAGCTGCATAGGAAAGCGTAGGAAAAGTAAGATCATTGCTTGGAATTTTGTTTACTGACACAGGATGCAGCACTGCCTCTTGTTAGGAGCTTTGCAATCAACTCAACTGCAAGCAGGACAGCTTTTCTCTGCCACAGCCTGTGTTGGGTTTATTTACTACTCCTCTTACTCTGCTCTTTGTGCTGATGAGCACAACCTGTGCTCTCTACCAGCTCACACATGTGGATTAATTCTTCACTAATAAGCTTGGAAAGCATTTAAGAGTGAGCGTTCACATAAAAACTGCTATTTTGGGGGGTTGATTTCAGCAGCACTGTTTTTTGAATGGTGTTCGAAAGGAGTGAAATCAGTACACAGCACAGACCAACTGCATTCTGTGGAGAGCAGTCTGAAAGAGGAATATAAGACACTGGCTTTTCTTTATGAACCTGAAGGATGTGTAAGTACTACTGCTTCTGTTGTTTTGACTCTATTTCTTTTAGATTAAACCAAGTAAATATTAAGTTAGAACAAAAAAAAAGTATCTGTGAGCCCTGTGTGCTCCAACACCATCTGGCTGTGACATCACACCCACCTCACTTGTACAGTAAGGCCCCTTGGCAATGCCCATGGGGGGGTACTGGGCTCAAGTCTCAGGGCAGATGAGGCATTTCTAGTTCAACGTGCTTTGAAGGATTCTCTGCACTAGTATCTCATTCTTTCGTCGTGCACAATCCCCTCTATTGTACTGGAGGAACCTTTTCCAGCAAAGGCTAAGGCTTTTACTGTCATTTACATGTGGTAGCTCCAGCCTTTTGCTGAGCATCAGCCTTCTCACTGGTTGCAGAGGTAGGAGGAGCAGTT